AATAAGTTATAATTGGATATAATATGTTTAAAGTAGGATATTCACTACTACCTATATAAACAGATACACATGCAAAGGGATATAACAAATTATATAACTCAATTAAATCTTGCCAATTATTATCTAAGAGTATTTTGTTTTTTAGTAAATTTCTATCTATATGAATTGTTCTATCAGGATTCTTTGTCATATTGTCAGTTAGTTCTACTATTGCATCATGTAAATCTAAAAGTTTTTGAAGAAGAATATATGTAGAATTCTAGCATGTGATAGTATTATTTGAGATAGGTTCTAGTATATGAGGTTTATTTTCTAAATTTATATTTTTTTAAAAAATTTCAGCTTGAATTTTGTGAAATCGAGCCTGATACTTGTTATATTTTACTAAAAAGTCTTTTATAACTTTTGCTCTTTTAATTAAAGTTAAACTTTTCTTTAAGCCATCAGTAATTACAAGGTGAATAGTATGTATAACACAGCCAAGATGAGTTACTTCTAATTTCTTAACTGCTTTTTTCATTAAAGCTGCATTGTATATAGTTATAGTAGTTAATTTATCTGTAAAATTCCAATCTACAGTAATTTTGCATAAAAAATCTTCAATGCAATTACTTGTACAAGAATATTCGAATTGTTCAATAGTAATTAAAAATTGATGCATTACAAATTTATTTGTAAGCCAATGAATTATTATTCCAATATATGGTGTATAGTTTTAACTCCAAAGGTCTGTTATTATATATGCTAATATCATCATTTGATTTATTAATTTTTGTAAATTTGCTTGTATAAATAATGTTGATTCTACAATTTTATTTTTTACAGTATTATTGCATGAAATATTATATCATGAATTAAGCTTATAACAGAAATCTCTAAATCAATTATAATTAATACTGTCTAGTAGAACTATAGCCTCAACTAACTATACTATTAATTGTTAAGCTATACAGTTTTGTTTTGGTTCAGAAAGAGGGTGAATATTTTCTGTATATTTTTTGAATATAGTATTAATCATTAATAATTTTGAAGTACTAAAACCTTTAATAGGAGAAGATACCACAGGTGCCATTAATATTTGATCTTTAAAAATCTGATGTTGAGTGAGTAGATATGATGCTATACTGGTAACTAAGGTACTTGGCATAAATGTAGTCTTATAGTGCTTTAAAACACTATTTCTATTATTCACTTCAACTATATAATA